TGTTTGTTACAGTCCTTACACTGTATGTTGTAGATGACTCCTGTTTTTTCTTCTTGGGCTAAGGACTCCTCAGTTCAACCCTGAGGCTGACCCAAAGGATTCCACAGTTCACAAGGACTCCTCAGTTCAACCCTGAGGCTGACCCCAAGGATTCCACAGTTCACAAGGACTCCACAGTTCAACCCTGAGCTACTCTACTGGAGATATAGTTGCAGCGTCCTTACTTGGCGTAAGCTCGGTAGAAGGACCGATACTCAACAGAGTAGCTATTTTCTGCCTCCCCTCCATTCCCGCCTCTTAAACCCGAGAGGAATTCAACTGGCACCCCCCACCCAGCCCCAGTACCACGCTTTCTCCTCCCACCTCCCTACCGTTTTGGGTGTAAGGAAAGAGGGAACGCTTTGCGCAACCGCCTACCTCCAGAGCCATCCGTCACACGTTCAGCCCGAACCGCTGCCGCCGCTGCGCCCCCATGAACGTCTCCAGCACCCGCCCCTTTTTCAAGCTCCGCCTCCCCAAGCCACTCCTGCCGGGGGTGAGAGGTCAACGTCGAAAAGGCTCCGGATGATGGCGGAAGAAGCGCTGCGAAGTGCCCCGAATCGGCACAGACGCTTAGGTTTGTTTTAATAAAAAAAAAAACTACAGCTCTCCCCCCCTTTTCCATTACATGGGCTAGTCCTTCCTATTTCCCACGGGAAGGCCAAACCATTCTGCGGTTCTGGAGGGGTGGGCAAGGGATTCGATGACAAGGGAGACGGAAGAAGATAGAGGGAGGCCGCGGTGTGTAGCGCATCCCTGTAATATGGGGAATGAGCCGCCCGGAAGTCTCACAACGTCCTAATAACACATGTTCCCAATGTACGATAGTGGCCGAAAAGAGATGCCTTTGGTTGGCTGGCTGGTTCCAATGCCTGAAATAGTAATAATAATAATAGCCTCAAGCTTCCCAAACGTACTTCTTTTTCCTTACGCTTTCTTTAAGGCTAACATTACGTAGGATATAATTTCTTCCAGCTCAGAAAAATTAGGGATGTAGTTCAGTTTTGGTTGCAAGCCTAGTTTGGGATGCAGAAATTCTCAGTATTAATCCCAATATCTTCAGACAAAGATAATAAAACTGGTTTCTAAAACTCTGGAATGCTGCTGCTGCTGCCTCTCTGGGATGCTTATTATTATTATTACGTTTTTATCCCACCATATATATAGGGTCAACTCAACAACTCAAGCAGCAAACATGCCTAATATTCCTGCCTCCTATTTTCCCTACAACAACAGCCCTGTGAGGTGGGTTGGGCTGAGGGTGACTGGCCCAAAGTCACCCAGCAGGCTTTCATGCCTGAGGGAGGCCTAGAACTCATGGTCTCCTGATTTCTATGGCTTGTTCTTAATCATTTGTTGTTATTCTTGTTTGTAGGAAACAAACAATCTTTAAAAAATGAAGATGCTGCTGAAAGGTATTGTTTCTAAAAATGCATTTGCTTATTATTAATTACTGTATTATTATTACATGTATGTCCCGACTTCTAAAGAGTTCCAGGGGTCTCCTCTAGTGTTATCCTCCCAACAGCCATGTGAGGGAGCCTAGAGATATTTATAGGACCCAAAGTGTAATGTGCAGCTATTTGGAGCTGGAGCAGAGAAGATCCTTGGGATTCAAAGAACTGCACCCCTGTGACTCAAGAGTCCCTCAGTTGATTGGGGAGTTGAACCTGGATGTTTCGATGCTGAATACCTTAGCCCAGGTATGGGCAACCTTTTATCTTTGAGGGCCACATGCACTTGTGAACAGGGCAGGTTTTTGATTGGAATTTTGAGTGGGTTCCGTGTTCTATAACAAAAGTCTAACATGGCCGTTTTGGGCTGTTTCCCATCTAAAGTGTAAGAAAATTCAGTTTTCTTCAGTTAGAGCCTTGGGACTACAGATTGCCCCCTCCTATCACCTTGACCACTATATTGTATTGGTGTAGAGATAGTGTATGAGGTATCATAACTCCAAGCATGATGTAGCAAGACTTTCTGGGCTTACCTATCCCTGTTGCTCATGAGGCTTATATTAGATAAGGACTTTATAAAGAGCAGTTTATTACCAGAGGAGAGAAATAAATTTGCTGGGCTTTGGGGGCTCATTTAATCAAAGGCAACTCCCTGTAATTTCAGTGGGAGATTTGCTCCAAAGCAAGTGATTATAGGGAAAGGTGTACGACAAGGCTGTATACTGTCACCCTGCTTATTTAACCTATATGCAG